GCTCCCTGAACCACAAAAAATCAACAAGCCAAAGAGAAAGGAAATAATACGCCTCTAAAGGCGATTTGTCATTTAGTGTGAGTACGAAAATTCCCAGAGAAATAAATCAATAAATCACAATTTACGGGCATCTCGGTTTATGGATCAAATTATGCGCTCAAGATGATAGGTGCGACAAGAGAAATGCCAAGGGCACTGTCAACATTTCATTTGAGCTCTAAAACCAAGTTTTTATGATGTGCGAGCCACATCTTCTATTCTACAGTAACTCTTCTTATCAAATTTTTTAATATTTTTTATGCATATCTTTTATTGGAAGACAAGTAACATTTTCAAATTTCGAGCGAGAAATAACAAGTCATCCAATCAAATAAATTAAGATCAATTTTACATTGTTGTGATAGGGTTGTCTATCATAAATCACATTCGCGTAAATTCCTTTGAAAGTGCCTTTTTGCTTGGCGTAGATTTTCTTTGGATAATAATCATGTAATAGCGTTTTAAATTTTAACGCCTTTTAGTAAATTTCTTTTGAAAATCAAATGCCTATCAGAAGGTGTTTTATTTTCCTACATTGTTCGTAATACCATTATGAATCAGACATTGTAATATACCACTGAAATAACGAAAACAATGATAAATTGTACGCATTATCCTTAATATTTAAGTCTAAATTTTCATTTTCCTTTTTTTATACTATTGGCTGACAAAAGAATAAAACTCGCGTGACAATTTTTGATACATTTGGATTTGCCGCATAGCCGATAGATAAAAAAAAAAAACGTGTTATAAATTAACCAATTAATTAGGGCATTGTTTTTGAAACTGTTTATAACAAAAACACATGTGGCAAAACAATTATCTAAGCCAAAAGTATTAATTTACAGATAACAAAGAAAAAAAAAAAATCTAATGAATAAAAATGGAAATTTAACTTAATAAAATCCGAAATCCGATTCAATAATGAGTCATCTTGTCTAATTATATTTCTTTAAACATGAGATTGTACCAGATTCTTGGGTAGAAACCTCCGGTCATAATAGAAATCGTAACTCGTAATTTCCCTGTAAATATTTAGAGTATTACAAGGGTCCATCTGTGATATGTTTCAGGAGTTTTAAAGTTTAGTTTAAAAATAAACTACATTGGAAAAGGTTTAAAATAGTCCATTTTGTAAGGATAAATTTGGAAATGCTCATCGACTTTTAAATGATTTAGTGATTACTAATTCTAACCTCGTTCTATAAATAATTAATAGCTAAGCTCCGAATTTTTCGGTCATATGACATTGAAGTCGATTTTCGAATGATTTCAATGATGCTGAATTTGTATTTATTACCATTACAGGTACAAAATAATATTATCTTTTCATTTTAAATTTTAATAATCATTTGGACAAACCGGATGAAATAGCGGAATTGTGGTCTCGGCTGGTCATATCATATGAAATGCACGTAGATCATGAGATCACATATAAGACTTAACAATTGCGGATTAGAGCGCTTTTATAAAGAACGTTACTTGTTTATATAATAATCGTATATAAATTAACGCCAATATAAATACTACTAAAAAAATAAATGTTTCTTTTTTCCCAAAAAAAAAATTCCTTTTTTTTTCTTTTAGGTTTATGCTTTTTTTCGTACGCTGCATTTTTGCTTGTTATTTTTTTCACTAAACATAAAAAAAATGCTAGATATAACAGAAATGATGTATGAGAGCCTCGATGCTCTAACCAATAATTCAGAGTCAACGTCGCTTACATCGCCAACAACTCCAACATTTCCCCCAACTCCAACAGCTCCAATTATTCCAATACATTACAAACCTAATACATTACCAATATCACCTTCTTCATACAATTCATCATATATTCCACATGAAATTGAAATAGTAAATTCATATGATTACCAAAGTCGAAGACATTTCAAGATAATCGGTGACACCTTTAGCAGCATCTTGCCAGATGATGATAGTACAAATTGTCGTCGTTATCGTCATACATCACAAATTTCTTCGATATCAACTGCTTCCTCATCAGATTTTTCAACCTTAACCGTAAATACTTCAAGTTCAACTACATCATCATCGTCTACGCTTAATAATAATTTATTTGACACGGATGCTGATGATTTAGCTTTTGAAAAATTGATTCAATTCGACCCTAATAATAACAATGCGAATATTCCTCTTTCTCCTAATAATACAAATTTTGATGTGATCATTAGCGTGGGAGAAGGACCATCTGTTAAAAGGTATCGAAGTCATTCAATCATCCTATGTAAAAGGTCATATTATTTTCGTACCGCCTTTTCAAACCATTGGGTGAAAAAACAGGGTGATATGTATTTCTTTGATAAACCAAATTTGTCCTCAAAAGTATTTACCACAATACTAAGGTAAAGTTAAATTCCTTAACTGTTTCACATGTACCTGTTGGGATGATAATCTAACCCATGACTGGTCACACACTTGTTTAGATATCTTTATTTTGGAAATGTTAAGTTGGAAAGATTGGATATTTTGACCATTTTGGACTTATTAAAAGCATCAGATGAATTGGTTCTCCAAGATTTTACACATGATATACAATCATATTTCATTCACCTAAACTCTGATTGGTTAAAAACGAAAATAGTTCCGATATTACAATGTTCATATTCAAATCCAATAGCATTTTCAAAACTTTTGCTTCACACATTGACAATAATCAAGAAGGACCCAACTTGTTTACTTATACAGAATGATTTGCATTTACTAACGGAGCAAATTATGGATAAGATTTTAAATGAATGTCATAATGGATTAGATGATTGGGCCATTTGGCAATGCATTTTACAATGGGCCATAGGACAAGAAAAGATTTATGAATTTTCTCATGACATTAAAAAATGGCATCAATATGAATTTAATACGTTTCATGAGTTAATATTTAATTTGGTGGAAAAATATGTTAGATTTAGTCATATTAGTAGAAATTATTTTTTAGACAAGATTTTGCCTTATTTAAATTATTTGACGAAAGATTTTGGATCAGATGTTGGAGAGGAAATCGTCAGCTACTATTTGTCAAATAATCAGCGTAATAATTATCATCATACAACACATCACAAGTCCACGCAACATAAAAAGGCATATACAAATTTTCATACATCAACGAACATCATTTTAGAAGATTCCGCATTAATAAACCATTTACAAGCATTGAAAATCACTGATTGGATACAAGAAAGCAATTACGTTGTTCCTAACGTTGTCAATACCACGAATTTTCCTTCTAAACTAAAGAAATGTAATTTACATTGTTTTACCTTTTCATTCTTTAACAAAAAGAATAAACAACAACAACAACAACAACAACAAAGTTCAAGCCCTATTTCAACCGCATTATCAATTTCCACTCATATCCTTACTACCACAGCAAGTAAATCACCTACAAAAGCTCAATTGGATCAACAACAACAACGACAACCAATTAATGTAGCATCAATGGCGACGCCAGCTGCTTATCAATTTAATCTCTTGTTCAGAATGACTCGTGATGGTGCTTCTACTCATCATGATAGATGTATTAATCAAGGTCCTGCTCTGGTAGTAGCCAAAATAAAATTACCATCGTCAGGTTCAACCTTAGGAGGATATATTTTAGTCGGAGGTTATAATCCTGTTGGATTCAATTATTTTTCTAATTCAAATTCTGAAACTAATTCAAACATTTCGTTACAACAAATGTTTATATTTACATTTGGGGATGGAAAATCATTTGAAAAATGTGATGTAACTAGAATGATGCTTCATGATGATAAAAATAACAAGGATTGTACAAAAAGCACGAAAGATTGTTCAAAGAATTTTAAAGTTTCGCCTATTACGCTCTCGATGAAAAAACCCAAAAAGGAACTATTTTATTCCAGAGTTAATAACAATAAGTCTTCTGGATCAGTTAATAATTATAATAGATTTGATAATGGTACGAATGAATTGTATTTTTCCGATGATTTAATTATTAATTTTCAAGAGAAATTTGTTAAATTTAATGGTGGGCATAATTTTGGTTTAATTGAAAGTGATATCGTTGAATGTGAAATTTTCCAAGTTAAAGAATTATGTTATTAAAATTTAGAAATATAATTAGAAGATAGAGTTATAATAATTCAAGTGTTAGAAGAGACTTGTTAGAAGAGTTTTATTTGTAAATTCAGTTATATGTGTATATATATTTATATCTAAATTTTTTTTTTTTTTTAAATCCTTGTTTGAAGAATTGTAATTTTATTTTTTATATCATTGTAAATATATATCATATATCATTTTTTTTTTTTTCGCCTAGAATCACAACACACATTTTACGCGGACAGTGGGAAGAATTATTCGGGTTTTAAATCTAGAATAGCGGATTACCAAATTAATAATAAAAATTTTTTTTTATACAAGTATTTAAAAATTCGAGAGAATTTTTTTGATCCAACTTGTTAATCTTTCGAAATTGAATCAAAATATAAAGAAATAACAAAAAAAAAGATAATTTCTTTTATAGTATAATTGAAATGAGACTATCTACCAAATTATCGTAATAAATATACTTCAAACATTAAATGGTTAAAAGTATTTATATAATAATCAAAAAGAAATAGAATAGGTACAAATTGCACACGCTTAAAAGCTTCTTTAAATTTCTTTATTATTAATAAATGAATTATCTTTTAAACATAGCCTTTTAAATCATAAAAGAAAATATACTCTCTGCAACTTCCTTAAATGCTTTAATAGATAAGAATTTTAATTAGGATCAGAATATATCTTGTTTTGAATATTAATGTAAAATCAGTTCTTTTTTTATTTATTTATTTTTTTTTTTTTCGTTGTTGAAATCAAGTTTTCTGGTTGAAAAGAAAGCTATATTGTATCTTATTATTTATTTTTTTTTATTTATTTTTTTCTTATTTTCTTTTTCCTTTTTTCTTATTCTTTTTTGTTCTTTTATTTCGTTTTTTGTAAATTCATGCCAACACTATTTTAGGAAACCTTCCAGAGGAACCCCAAGATTTTTTTTTTTTTTTTTTAAATTTTTAATTTACAACAGTTATGTACATTCCACCTTTGTTTTCATTTTTACATTCCTCAATAAACAATTCAGCGTCAGATGTGAGACCGTTAATTATTGTAACTTCTTTTAGCCTTTTATGTTTTTCTAATTGTTTGATATTTGATTTGTTAAATCTTACTGGTGGATAAATAATTAATTCTTCAAGATTTTGAAATTTCTTAAACGTTTTAATAAGAGACTAAAAAAAAAAAAAAAAAGATTTTTTGAGATTAGATTTCTTTTTAATATAAAAAAAAAAAAACTAAAATAAAACAAAGAGACATTCTTTGTTTAGGATCTCTCTCACTTACACTTCCATCAGATTCATGTATTTGACATTTAAGTACCAAAGATTTAATTTGAGGACATCTGATGGCTAATTTCTCTAAAGCAACCGAATTAAGTTTATGATTTGTAGCATTGTCAATGGTTTTAAGTCCTGTATCATATGCTTTAAATACTCTCAAAGTTCCTTTATTACGCGTCGCCAAAGTATGCACAATGGAGGCCAAAGTTTGTCGAGGAAAATTACGAATAGTAAATTCTACCAAACTTTTACATTCTCTCGTGATATTTATGAAGGCTACATTTGTCAATTTTGTACATGACATCACAATGAAATTTCTTAGATTCATACAATGAGTGGCGATGTTTGTCATACCTTCATCCGTTATGCGAGGATTATAAGCTATCATGAGGTGTTTTAAATGAACGTTACGATGCTTCGCCAACGCTTTTAAGGCGGAATCTGTTAAATGAAAGCACATATAAATCTCGATGGATTCCAAGTAAATACAATTTTCCGCCAATTTTTCAACCGTCGCATCCGTTATATACACGGTGGCTAGATGAAGATGACGTAAACATGATTGATGTTTGGCCAGGGAACAACTAAATTTTGGAAAATCTATGACATGAATGGTTCTAATTCTCAATGACTCAAGTTTGGCGAAAGCGAAAGCTAAACTTTCGGCAGCCTCATCCGTGATATCTTCTTCAAATTGCGACGTTAACGATCTAAGTTTGACGGCACCCGTGATAAGTCCTTGTAACCCTGCGAAATTAATATGCCTACATTCGAACGTTTGTAAATTTGGAAAAGATTTCACAATCATTTTTGCGACATCCATCCTATTTACCCGTTGGTATAATTTCAAAGAGACAATATTCTTACAACGTTCCCCCACATCCCTTAAAACGTCAAAAGCCCAATTTCTAGTCCAATCGCTAATCTCCAGGTGTTGTAACTTTGGGCATAAACCTTCTCTCATCGGTTTTAAAGCTCCATGTAACCATTCGTTGTCACAGTTCAAAACGGTGAATGATAATAAATTTGGTGCGGAACTTAACATTGCCGATACGTTTGTCACCGAGAAAGGTTGTCTTGGATTAGCGATGGTAATATGCTTAATATTTGGACATTTTCTTGAAATCAATTTTAGATCCAACGTTGAATAATCCGGAATGTTCCCATAAGATCGATGACTTTTAAATATAATACGTTGAACCATAACACCATATGAAAATCGTGATTTCCTACCACGAAGCGTGCGTATAAATTTTTGGTAGGAACCAGCCGTCTTCCACACGGGAGATTTCCATAATTGTCTTACCATTACCTTTTGATGAAAAAAAAAAATTTTTTTTTTTTTAAAAAAAAGAACAAAAAACAAAAAAAAAAACACGAAATTACTTACCAAAGTCCATGTCGTATTAACGAAGAGATAGTTAAAGGTATCATCTTGACGATCGATATAATTCGATATACAGAATAATACATCGGGTGACAACAAACCTTTTTGTGCCGCGGTTTTTCGTTCCATGACGAAGCGAACAAACCAAAAGTGGGGAGGAGGGAAGGGAAATTTGGTGAATCTTAACTAGCTAGATACTGGAGTTAGTAAGCAATTTATATATTTTTTTTTTTATTGAATTTTGTATATGGTGATTATACTAACTTTATTTGGTATTAAAAATATAATTGTACATTTTTTTAAATCATTAAGCCTCATAGGATTCCTATTCCGAATAAGGCCAATGCGACGACATTTTATTTGATTTTGTCCAACAATCTGACTTTATTGGTTTTTTTTTTTCATTACCACCATAATAATAATTACAATTATTCTCCCAACACGGGGCGCCCAATAATGATGAAAATGAAAATTTTGTAAATTATGATAAAATGAATAATTTTTTTTTTTTTTTTTTTTTTTTGCATGGTCTTCGCATGACATTGCTCTCCTATTCGCAAAGTCTTGATATCACCAAGTCCTCATTTAAAATGTTAAAGGATGAAAACAATGATTATTTAACAATGGGGAAAATTTTTTCACTCGAAAGGAGATTAATTATGTTGTACAGGTGAGGTTTTTCGACGTTAGAGATAAAGATCCTTCTTTATTCGAGTATTTCATAACTTTTTCCTTAAAATTCCCACCAATGATCGTACTGCGCCTACACAAAATAAGTTTACTTAATATTATTCAGTTATACACATAATGTTTTTCCCATACATTTACCAATCACGACATAACTCTATTGTGGGGAAATGAAAGATTTTTTTTTTTCCTGGAATTTTATTTTAGCGTCCCATATAATAACACTTGTTATGCATGATCAATAATATTATGGTTTGTTATTGCATTATTAAGCATGGATTTATTAGGTCAAGCTATAGAAGAGCTTTCGGTTTTAAAAATTGTTTGTAATCAAAACAATTCATTTTGGAAGGTTTGAATGAACCTATTTGTTCATTTCTAAACCCAAAATTACGAGTTACAATCAAGAAAGATAACAACCGTACATGACCGACCTTCATGTGACCGACGATAATCAAATTTTTTTTTATTTTGTTCATCATAAAAAAAAAAAAATTTTTTTGCTTTTCACGTTATATTAACACCAACCAATAAATAGGAAAGGGGGATCCGCGAACGTGTAGATGAATGGTTCGAATCGGTTTCTTGTATTCGGTTGCAAAACTTCATATTATGCATTATTTAGATGTGCGCATATATTATTGATTTACTGCGCAACCTCGTAAAATGCTGCGGAATCGGCATTTAATTTATCCCGTAATTCATCACTTTTTCACTTTAAAAAAAAATGGAAATCAATTAAAAAAAAAAAAATTTTTTTTTTTTTTGGTACCAAAAAAAGAATGACAATGTATTTCGTATACATAAAAAAAAAAAATTATAAAATTACTTGAGACATATGTACATAGCTTAAATTTTTGTTACATAAAAAAATGTCATAAATTAAAATTTTCGTTTTGTTATACGTCCCAGCAATTCTATTTAAAAATAACTTTCTTTTACACCACTACTACTACACAGGCTACGTGGCAAAGAACCAGCAAGCCACGCCTTTGGTTGTTACGACTCGTACCACAAAAAATTTCGTATCACTAGAAAGACGATGATTCGCATGTTCGAAGGGTTTTTTTTTTCGGAAGGGGTAAATTTACCATTAATTTTAAACTAGACGCAGAAGTTAACTATCTATCGGAAAAAAAATATGAGAAGAATACGGCGAGAAGTAAATGTTTTTTTGCTTTTTTTTTTTTGATTTTTTTGATTTTTTTTTTTTTTGGAAAGTTGTAAAAAAAAAGATATTAAAAAAAAAAAAAAAAAATGGAAGATAAAAAATAATTTAAATATATAAATATCCATCATGACGCAGAGCCGGGCGCAACTTTTATCCTTTCGCAAGTCGCATTTAGAATCGAACTTTTTGTGTTTTGTGATCCGTCGATTCGAACGATCCGCTTTATGATTTTTCGAGTTTCGAAATTAAATTTTTTTTTTTCTTTTTTTTGAAATTGTTTCTTGTGTGTGAATGTGATTTCAATCGCCAAAGATTAACGAGGTGAACGGGAAGGTTGACGAGAACTATTCCTTCACTTTTTTGAAGTTGATAAGGGTCTCCTTCCAATAGAGTCTAAACTGGGAAAGAAGTTAACAGTGTCATATTCTGTTTCTTCATCAGAATCAAAGGAGTCGAACAGAGGTAACTTGGGCTCGGCTGGTGTTGAAGGTAGCGATACAGGTGTAGGGGGAGCAACTGAGAGAAAAAAAAAAATTAAAATGTTTGAAAAATAAAAAATTAAAAAAAGATAAAATAAAAAGAATAAGTGAGATATATATATATATATGTTTTTTTTTTTTACCTAAATGATGGTCGTCTGAATTGCGATACAAGGCAAAATCAAATTGTTCATCGCTTACAAAAATTCTAGGATCAACCAGCTCGCTTCCATTGTTTGTGTTAATATGAACTCCCAAATTTTGTTGTGGTTTTGAAATTTCAGCAGCTATCTTTTCATAATACTCTTTCACAACCGGCGGTTCTTGTTGCCACGCAGCAGAAACCATTGATGAAAACCGAGAGTCATTGACCAACATCGTATGGTTTTCCGATTTAAGATACAAAAGGTAGTTTTTCCGATAGATGTTTAAAGCATTTGGTGCTTTATTCTCTTTTTGTTCTAAAGTTTGTTTCACCAGAGCAAGTTTGTTCGCCACAGGTGGAGGAGGTAAAGGCGGTAGTTGTTTAGAACCACCACTTAATCTTCTTGGATGGTTAAGCGAGGATGATAAAGCCCTGATGTTTGCTTGATCATTTCTTCCGCCTCTTAAAGCACCTACGCCCTTCTGCAGGTGATTGTGGTGTTCGGTCATGAAAAAATGCAAAGGCGCAGCCGTTGACTTTCACTTCTTTTCCAGCAAAAAGAGGAGAATTTGACTATGGTTTATATATTCAAAAAAATGTGCATTTGTGCTAAGATCTGGGGGCATGATACGCAGTTAAATGTCCCATTCTTGGTGAATATACAAGGAAATCATTGAATGTTCAACAAAATTCTAACTAGAAATGGATCGAGTATTCGTCATTACTGTTCTTTCGAGATTTTGTACGACCGTTTCTCAGCACAAGATCATCATCAAACGGCAACTCAATAAACTCATCATCAACCTACCTTATCTCCTTTTTAATTATCAAAGAGCATACATATTTTTTATTTTTATTTTTTTTAAAAAAAAGCGGCAACTTTTATTTCTCCCATACAACTTTAAAAAATTCAAAAGTTTTTAAATAAATAAAAAATTTTATTTATTTACATATCTTAGATTATCGTGTTTTATGTTTTATTTTAATTTAACATTCATTCATGCATATATAAAATAGGTGGGTGATATTATAAAAAGAATTAAAAAACTTTTTTTTTTTTTCTCGTTGAGCAAAAGTTTTTTTATTTTATCTTGTTGAATAAATGAAACGATATGATGTAATTAATCCCCGGAAATGCCGACATAATCGGAATCTTATTTCCGCGCCAATTTTTTCGTCCATCCATCGTCAAAAATAAAAACTTGAGAAGTTCGAAGAAGCAAAACAAAGATTGATTGAATTCTTTTTTTTTTTTTTTTTTTTATTTATTATTATATATTTTATTGATAAGTTATCTTGTTTTTATTTCAACATGTCATTCCAAAAAAAAACTTATAGATGTTTAAATTGGAAATTTGAGGATCTTCCGAGTTCGAATTTTTTTTTTTTTTTTTTTACAATTTACATTACTGATTGAATCAACCCGCCCTTTTTTTTTTACCCCAAAGAAAATAACCGATTACATACGAAATTGAACACAAGTATAAATTTCCATCTCTTGAAACAAAGAAAATCATGTTTAAACAAAAAATAAAATAAAAAATGTAAATAAGGTTCAAAACCTTTAATTTCTCGCGTGGTCCTCGCATTGATCTTAATTTGTAAATCGTGTAAATTGTTGATCGACAACAATTCTTTTAGGATTTCCTATTATCAATAAGTCAACAAGTTCAACGATTGCTCGGATGATGAATGACGATTCCCTGTGCTTCGAGGTTTAATTAAAAATCTTTTTAAAATTGAAACTTTAATTTATGGTAACCAAATTAAAAATTTGGTATAATTGGAAGTTTTTTCCCTATTATTTATTATTTTTTTTTTTTTTAAAACAGGAAATCCCTTCTAAACTCTTTACAGGAATTCCCTCCCTTCTCGAATGATCTGATTAAGATTCCTCATTACTAAGCTTACCATCAAAAAAAAAATTCTTTTTTTCGTTTCGAATGTATGTATTTAGAATCGTAGTAATAATGGGGGCATAATAGGGTATTATTTCCTTATTATGTTCAAATAACAGACATTAATATAAAAATAGATTTGTTTGTGATAAACACGTTTTCAAGTTTCATTCATAAATAATTAAAAATGGTTGGTTTCACAGTAACCTGAAATTTTACCAATAAGTATAACAAACATTTTGGTTAAATTATTATACAATATATTTTGTAAAAAAAAAAGATTAAGGTTGTTTACAAATGAATCAATGACAAATTTTTCTTTAAGTGATAAAGAATGGAAAAGTTGAACATTGTATAAACTTTCCCCACATGGTCTTTTTTTTCAAAAAAAAAAAATCGTTCAAAATAAATAAAACTTGATTTGATCCAATCATCATTGTTATGAAAAGATCACATGATTGGTTAAAGATAGGAAAACAAGGACCGCACCGCAGCAAGTCATGAGGTGAACGCCAATGGAGATGAATTTTTTCTTATGTAATTAAAATTTAAGAGTTGTGTCATCGACTCCCCAAATAAAATTATATAATGAAAACACAATTTTTTGCCGAATAAACGTATTTTTACAATAAAAAGAAAACCCACTCTAAAAATGATAAAGGTCTATTTTAAATTATTACTATATTTGGAGAATTATTTGCTACTTCAACTAATAAAGGGTCAACATTTGATACTGAAATTTTTCCATCACACATATATTGTTGATTATTCCTTTCAATATGATCTAATATATAATTATAATTTGCCATTATTCCAAATGACTCCTCTAAACCTTTATCTATTAAATTCGTTAAAATAGATTAGTTTAGTAATAAGAATAAAAAAAAAAAATTACGGTTTCACTTACTTGATATATCACCTAACCAATTTAATCTATGAACACATGCACCATTTCTGATATGAAAATTAGCTACATGTAAAATTTTTTAGGTGAGTATTCTTAATTATTAGATATTGTAAATATTGTAACTTACCAACGGGATCCAACGCCAAATTTCTTCGCTTCTCTGTTAGGATATATCTTTTTTTTTTTTAAAACAAAAAAAAATTTGAGAATCCAAGTCCAATTCATATTTAAAAAGTAAATGGATAAAATAAATTCTAATAATATACCTTGCACATAATCTCATCAAGATAGGTTTTAATGTATGAAAACACACCTCGTCTCTAATCCAATCTTTGGATTTTAATATGACTTTTAAGATTTCAGTTCCACTACCTTCTAAATGTCTCCTTAAATTTTTGATTTTTTCAGCTTCACCATCAACTAATATACTATCACCTTCGACATTTATGACAGCATTTAACCATTTTTGAAATCCTGGGATAGGACTTAATGTTGAAAAAGTTTTTATGCTTGGAAATTCGGTTTGCAACTCTCTTACTACTCTTTTAATTAAAAAATTACCAAGCTCAATGCCTGATAATCCTGGTTGACTTGTTATTGAATAAAATATCGCACAGTGTATATCTTCGATCGTTGGTATTGACTTTGTTGGGTTGGGATCTTCCAATATTGCCTACAAATAATTATGAACTTTTAATTCATTATTAGTTGTAAAGAATGTCCAATCTATATAAATATATTACCTGCACGTTGTCCGAAACCTCTTTTGTTAGGGCTACTTGAATAAATACAAGTGGCTCATGTCTCATATTTTGATAAAAGAACGCAAAGAGGCGTCTTCCTGCATATAAATTAAATTAATGTCTCTTCAAATTATTCATAATAATAATATAAATATTATTTTACCAGGTCCGACACGTCTAAAGTAAATGATTAAATAAAGGAATTATTAACCTGAACAAATAAATACTCAAAATATAAATACGTATATAAATTATCTTAATTCATTAACCTCTTCATGTCATCCCAATCCTTTATAGCGTGCACTGCCTCATATTCTATGACCTTCTCTAGGATAGCAGCAGATGAATACCACGTTATTCTCCTTAAATCCAAAAATCCAACTAATAATGATGACAGTTTTTCTTTCAAAGATTCATTTAACGCCATCAAACATGCTTCATGATTATTTTCCTTCAAATATGCCTTTTTTTTTTTAAAAAAAAATAAATAAATAAATAAATAAATAAAATAAAATAAATATATACTTATAAATAATTTTCAAGATAAAAGAGACATTTCCAATGAAATGCCCATTGACTTACTAGTAAATCGGCACGCATGTTCACTAAAAACTTTGTTCCACCGGGTAATGGAATTATCCGATCAAAAAATACATTATGTGCTGGATTCATAGCATGTCGAAGTATTTGTTCTGCTCGAAGTACTGCTCTTCCATACTAAATAAATTAAACAATAAAATATGAATTAAATAAAGCAAGATGAAATTAACGATGAATTCTTTAATCATACCGCATCTTCATTTGATAAATTAGTATAATTATTTGCCGCTTTAAGAGCTTCATCTCTCTTCACACCTTTTATCACAATTGTTAATCATCCCTTTAAAAAATGTAGCAGCCAAATTAAAATACATTTATTGATTTTTCACCTACCAAAATCACGAGCAAGTATATACATGAATTTAATCTTATCTTCCTAGTTCATCATAAATTAAAATAATTCATATATAATGAGATCGAATTTTAAAAGAATTAAATAAATAAATATACCAACGTTAACAAGAGTTTCATATAGTTCACAACATCTTTTTGCTATTAAACTGGGCACTAAATCACCTCCACGTTTCATCGTTATAGCCGCTGATATTAATTTACGTATAAAGTTTGCATCTTTGATAGTCAATCTCGAATTTGGTCCACTAAACGAAAAAAATTCTATACTTAAAAATATATTTATTAACGTTTAATTAATTGATCAAAAAAACAATATCATAAACAAGCTTTAATTTTATTACCTGGCTCATGCGTATAAACTTCAATTTCATGCCAAAAATCCTCTACATTATTTGATTTTAATGATTGACGAATATATTGTTGTTCGAATAATTCTTGTGAATCCTTATCTTTTGGTGAAGAATTATTTTTTGATGATTTATTAGCTTGATGATTGGAACATGAAAATTTTCGATTATGCTTCATTATATTTTGTAATATTCTCGACTAAATAATTTCGGTTTGGAGAAAAATCATTAATATATATTAGAATTGATTTAAAATTAACTTTTTAAAGAATATTTAAATAACAAACTCTCGTATTATATGAACTAGGTAAATTATATGACGTTGGTATTAATAATTTATTTTGAAACCTCCGAATTGTTTCTGAATAACTTTTATTAGGATAAATTAGAGAACGTATACATGAAAAGATAGACATAATATTATCATAAATTAAAGATTACTTAAAACGAAGCCATACCTTTTCGATGGTTTTTTATCTCCAATTTCTGAACACAACGCCGATCCATCTACAGATAAATCGAAATCTATTTTTATAAATATCAAAGTAGTTTGAAAACGAGCTCTTTAATCAAAGCTTTTGTGTTAAACTATTGGCAACTATAATCAAAAATATATATATATATATATTAAGTCAAAAATTTAATGATTCAACTAAAAACAATATTAAACGTAATCGATAATTCTGGTGCAATATTCGCAGAATGTATAAGAGTGGCCCACGGTGGTAGATATGGTCGAATAGGTAAAGACATAGATAGATATTTATTTCGAAACCTACCACAAAAAAAAAAAAAAAAAAAAAAAAAAAAATGATCCGAATCCTTGTAATTTACATAGGCGACCCAATAACAGTTGTAATTAAAAAAGCAAAACCAATTTCACAAGTAATTTCCACAACAGCAGCAGCAAATCCATCTACCAAATTACAAATACGTAAAGGAGAAGTAAAGAAAGCTTTAATTGTTCGAACTCGTAAGGAAACAAGAAGACCTGATGGTAGATATATCAGATTTGATGATAATGCTTGTATCCTATTAAATAACCGTCAAGAACCTTTGGGTACCAGAGTTTTAGGTGTTGTAGGGGCTGAATTGAGAGGTAAGAAATGGGGGAAAGTCGTTAGTTTGGCACCTAGAGTTGTCTAATAATTTATGTAAATTTATTTTGGAGCGATGGGACTTAGATTTTTATTGTTTATGAAAAAGTTAAATGGATTTTTTTATTAGCTATGTTTCTCAATTAAATGATGGAACAACTTGCTTAATTTTAAAATTTTTCTCGTTATCTTTTTAATGACTTTTTTATATGTTCCTAACTTGGTATGTGATCGGTTTCGGCGAAACATAGAACTTGATTCCATATTCCAATATATAAATAATTCTTTACTATGATCTCCTTAATATGCTAAATTTTTGTATCTTAAGTTCATAAAAATAAAAGTAATTTTTTTTGTATAATGTACGTAATTGATAATTAATATATAAATTTTTGATTTAAAAATTGTCTTTTTATTATATTTTTTAATATATATAAAAAGAAAAGTTAATCAAATTTATTCTTTTTATTTAGATAAATTTAATAAAAAGAATAATAACCAGATTTTTGATAATATATATTAATTCCTTTATTTAATTAACATTTTTTATTATTTAAAAATATTTTAAATAATTTTTTTTTTATATCAATAAATGTTTAAATTCCATTTTGTATAATATTATTATTAAATTATTATATTTTTGTTAAATTATATACAAATTATTTTTTTTACTAAATTTAATCTAATTTCCATTTACTTTTATCCTTTAAATTGTTTAATAGATAAATTTACCTGTAAATTTTTTTAATAAAATATAAATTTAATTTTAATAATATAATTATTATATAAAAAAATATAGTTTAATATATATTTTACTAACTTTATTAAAAGATATTTTAAGTATATTAAAAAACTTTTTAATTTTAAAATTAATTTATAATAATAATTTTAAAAAATTCATATGATTATAAACTAAGTGAATTATTTTATTTTATTATTTATAAAGTTATAAAATTTCTTAATATATTAAATATTATAATAATTAAAGTTATTCTTTATAATATTATAATATAATTAAAGTAAATTTTAATAAAATTGATAAGATAAAATTTTTAGCTTATATATAATTTTAGATGTTTTATTATGTAAAAATAATTATGATATAATATATATATTTATAAAAAAATTTTTTTAAAAATTTAATTTTTCATAAAAATAAATCAAAAAGAAATTTATAGTAAATAAGTAAATAAACTTTACTTATTAATCCCTATAATTTAAAAATAAATAATTTAATTATACCTTTAATAAAATTTTAAATTTAAATTATAAAATTAATTGCCAATTCGGATATGATCAGCAGAAGAATTTGGGGTAAATTTTCACCAATCATTTATTGAATACTTCAAAATGGCACAAAACATTCAAATAGTAAGTTTACACAAACTATTTTTATGCACACAAAAATCATACGATCTAATACAAAAAAGGTTAAAGAATTTGAAAAATTATCGTAAAACTAGTTGTTAGTTATATTTTTAATGACTTTATTATATACGAACGCTAGATTCTAAGAAAATTATGCAAATTTATAAATCTACATTTAGCAATTTTCTATAATAAAATAATATAAATTTGTTTATTTAGAAGGCTTAGACAACTTTAACTTCTTAAAAAGTTGCGATGTTACAGTTTTTTTATCAACATTGTAGTTCTATTTTTCTTCTAAATTTAAGGATTTTATAGTAAGTTTTTTAGAAATTATGAAAAAATTTTTTCTTTTTATTGATTTTATTTTTTTATGATTTTATTTTCATCTTTAGAAATGATTTATGTATTCAGAAGTCTGATTTATTTCTATTTTATGGTAAATTTCTTTGTGAATTAATGAGATTTTTTTTCTCGTTTTATTGTTTATTTTTTGATTTTGTTTCTTTTTATTGATTTGTTTTACCTTTTAGAAAAAGTTTGTCTTTTCATGTCATTTCTCTTTTTTTATGATTCAAAGTAAAATTTTGTTGATTTGTCTTTGAATTTTGTAGTAAATATTATTCTAAGATTTGAAGATAGAAAATTTTTTTCCTTTTATTCTAGTTTTTTTTTTAATGTTTCTTTTTATTGATTTTTTTTATATTTTGGGAATAGTTTATCACTTTCGCCAGTTTTTCTCTTTCTTTTTTATAGATTAGAGAAAATTGATTTTTTTTTATTCTTGGATTTTACGGTAATTTTTTGTGAGATTCAGAAGTGGAATCTTTTTTTTTGGGTGTTTTTTTTTAGCTGTAGATTTTTTTATTATTATTATTTTCTTCATATATTGAATTGGGATACAAATTATATAGTAATAAAAACAAAATCTAATTTTTTTGCATAATTGAATATAAACTTATTGTTCAGATGTTTCACTTTCTCAAGAAGCCTTAGTGCCATAGTTTTCTTGAATGATCATGATGTGCTTGTTATCCAATTCATAATTATGGAAACTTTTAACACGTCATTTTTGAAAATTTCATTATCTGTCACTCTTTTCAAAAGCTTCTTGTGCATTTCATTAGCATTTATTTTAGCCTAGGATTAGCAGTACCAGTGTAAAACATTATAGTAAGCAGTCCTTTGACATGTTCTGTGATTCGTTTGGTTAGTACTTTTTGATTCACTTTTAAATTTTTGAATAGAGCCTATCCACAACCAAATATAATGGCACTACCAATAAAAAAAATATGAATATATTCATGATATTTATATAACACAATATAAAAGAATAATAAAAAGTTTAACATGCTTTTTGATATTGGATCAATATCTATACTTTCAATTTATTCTTTTTCAACCTGTTTACGATTCTTTTACCAAATATCCTGATGAAAAAAAATATTAATATGTTTTGTATACTTACTTCCAAAATTTCTTGATCTCCTTGGGTATTTTCTAAAAAAAAATGATATTTGTCAATACAAAATAATTATGAAATAATTTTGTTAACAAATTACTTTTTCTTAATGTTGATGGTATAGTCCATGATTTTAAAGGTTGTGTTGTATAGCTTGGGGTTAGTTTTTCAAAGGTGCATAATTTTGTAATTTTATCAATTTGACTGGAAGAAATTTTATTCCAATTACCAAACTCTGGCAGTATATGAGCATATATATATCTGACATTTTCTCCTGTTTTAGGTTAAGTAAACTTGTGTCAATTTGATATACCATTAATTATTCCTAATTTTCCTTTTTATATTCAAAAGATATTATCATTTATTTTTTCAAAAAAAAGAAACTAAATATTTACCTTTATCACGGTCTGGTTCAAGATGAAATACGTGAGTACCTGAAAGATTTTTGATAGCATTTTCAATATCTTCTCCTTCTTCTATTTCATGTTCTATTTTTACCTATCTTTTTATTATGTGGGAAATCTAAAACAAATAATAATATATATTAATTACAAGTAATATAAAAAATCAGATATTTGTTTATACTTGAGCATGGTGAGAGTCTATTGCAGTTTTTGTTTTACCTGCTTTTAAAAATAATCATCTATGAGGACTTATATTATACCATTCTTTTCAATGACCCATAATAATCATTAATTCTATATTACGATAATGTCCTCCATTATCTAAAATAATAGTGATCCATTTTGGTTTTCACTTCAAAGTTTCTATTACTGAATATAATAAAAATACTGTAAACTATCTATCCTGCTGAATATCTTCAGACTAATGGTCAAAAGCTTGCACATTCAAGTTATTATTTTCAGAATTTTTTGTATACACATGAACAGAATGAAGTATCTATTCTCTTTTTCTAAACCATTCATTTTTTGTTTCATGAGTTTTTTTTGAAAAAATTTTCATCTTATAATCTATAATTATTAAAGCTCTATCTGAATCAAGTTGAGAGAATTGAGTATTAAGCTGTGCATTGAAGTAAGATTTACAAGCATAATGTGTCATAAAAATAATCAATTGATTTGATAGATTGGTAACTTTTCTTGTTGTTCTTTTTCAAGGTTTTTTTGTAAAGTATCAAAAAATAATAAAAGGGATTCACAATTATCACAAATATCTGAATGATTCAAATAACATTCACCAAATGCATAAGGTAGACAATGACTGATACATCTACTATATTTCACACAACTT